GTCCATACGTGCAGCCTTGCTGTGGCAGCCTGGTGGAGGGATAAATATTGGTATCTCTGCTGCGGCTGACTCAGCATGGCTGTAATAAATATCAGGGGACTGAGAGGAGAAAGCTGTTGACAGTTACAGCTGTTAACACAAACGTGTTAGCAAACAGCCCTGGACAAGCTGTTCCCGTACAGTGTAACTTATGTAGGTTGTAAGACCTGACGGAGGATAAAACGACTTTTTTTTTTTTTTTTTTTGTGACTGTGTTGTTTTGATGTCATTTCTTGAAGTCAGTCAACAGAGAGGCTCCTTCGTATGTAACATTATGGTGTTACGAACTACTGAGCAACAGCGATGTTTGAATATTCTGATTTCTCTTAATTAATGGCATTCATAATTAATATCAATATGGAAAAATGTTGGAAAGAATATGCGGTAATATGAAGTATAACTACAAATTCACAGTTGGTTATTTTTTTTTTATTATTTTGCATCTTAGTGTCGAGAGTTGTTTTCAAAAAAGTTCAGATAAAGTTCTTTATCAGTTCCACAGGCGGGGGGGGGGGGGGGAATTCACGTGACCTCACTGCAGCTGTGTGTTATAAAGAGGTCACAGACAGTAGACTGGAAGTGACAACATGGCCAGTTAGGAGGACCCAGCCTATTGGACAGACTTCTTTATCTTCAGTTTTTCCCAGCATGCAAATGGTTCTGAGATATGCCGTGTACGATCCACCCACTTTGGCCTAGAAAAAGAGTTGGGAAAGGCCCAGTGTCTGCTCTGTGACACATTTTGACAACTTTGCTGCTGACAGGTACAGCTGATGTGGGCTGCAGAACCAGGATGGGACACAGCTTGTTGCTGTGCAAAGTAATCAATCAAATGTCAGATGTCCCCACCTCCCTGCCTCCACTGTCTCAAAACTTAGAGCGGTTGAACAGTGTGTAGGTAGAGTTGAGCTGACACTCACGGAAAGCCTGAGCTCACTGGACTGAACTGGTGCAGCAGAAATGCTCAGTCATGTCACTGCAGTCCTGTGTCTTGGCTGGCCTGTCATGAGCAGTGTTACGGAGAGCAATTAACAGCAGAATAATTAACACTGTTCCTTATGGTGTTGTATGAGTCTGTCTCTCTGTGGTGACATGTGGACCAAAGCTTTTGTCAGACGGCCACTCTGTCGCAGGCGAATGATCCCGTTGACACAGTCATGAGGTTTGTATGAGCTTGTGTGAGTAGGAAAGGTGACTCCTGTAGAGATGGTGTCGGTGAAAGTTATGATTTTGGAGTCGGTGCTGATGCAACTTCTCTGAAGCATCGGAAACTGGATGAAAAGTCTGTGGAAGAGAAATCTAAATCGTGCCATCGTGTTGAAGCTGCAGAGAAAAACAAAATGTACCTTTGCTATGTGATAAAGCTTCTTTGAAATATACTGCAGATTTATTTGACTGTGGAAGTCCCATTTAACTACAGTGTGTTGAGGCTTCAGGATTTAAACTTTTTTTTTTAACCTTTGAACGTCCTCACACTCCTGCAGTCCTGTGGTTCTTCTGCACATGTGGAAAATCTAACAGAGAAAAATCAGTGCCTTGTTGACATTTAATGTTTCTGGAGTTGAGTGACACCTAACTGTAGCATCAGTTTACCTTGTGCTAACCCGCAGCCTGTTGCATGAGCGTGGGATGATGGGAGTCAAGTGTTGTTGCTCCAGATCCTGCGGAGGTGCCCTTTCATCATCAACCCCGGCCCCTCTTTCCCCCCACCTTAATGTGTCCAATCTAATCTGGGCTGTGGATGAATATCCCTCATGCCTCTGACATCATGGAGTTTCCACTGCTCTGCTCCTGTCACCTCACAGATAGCTTTGATATTTTACACCCTTGGCTCAGTCACAGGGGTTCCCCACCTTCCACCCCTCCAGACCATAGATGGACAGCACAGTGTTGCTGGTGAGGTCACATGATAGCTCAAAGGTCACATCTCAGTTGATTTTTCTCTCGTGTGTCATTTTGTTTTGGCAGAGACCGTGCAGATTGAGGAAAAGACATTCAGGCAAAACTAACCATAACTAAGTTTCCATTCAGATCTTTTAGAAGGCTGCAGAATATTTGCAGCACATCAACTGTCCTTCATTGAGTAAACTAAAACAGGCCCATAATGTTCAGCACCATTATTACTTCTGCTGCTGTAGTTCAGCAGCTTTAGCAGGGATTGGAGAGAAAGATATTTTTATCCCTAAGTTGCTGTGACTGCTTCATGCATGTCATCCCGATTGAATGATTGATTGATTGATTGATTTGTAAACCAGACATTTATGATCTACAGTGGAGAGCTACGGTTACTTCAGTGCATGGTCACAGAGGTCTTGTTTTTTTCCAAGGTCACACCTCACCATAGCTGTGAGAGTAAGCTTTGAAATTTACATAAATGTAATCTGACTGCATCAAAACTGCAGGATCAAGGTAAACAAGAAATTTCCTGAAGGGAACTCCTGAGGGATTAATAAAGTTCCGTCCATCCGTCCATCTAACAAATGGGCATCGTTTACTTCCAAATGCCAATATTGTTCATTCAGATGAGGATGCTTTTAAGGCAGAATAGATACACACATGAGTGCATTTACAAAGGCAGCAGAATGAAAAAATACCACACCTCTCTAGTTCTGCTGTCTTCTGTATAAATGCACTTCCTCGTACTGACTCCAGGCTCCAAGCTGTGCTCGGAAACACACATGGTTTTTTCCGTCATGGATCTGCCTGCACACAAACAGACTAATAATACGGCTCCCCCCTCTGTTTTTATGTTTATATGAGCAGGTGGATTCTTAAGCATGTGTAAAGATCAGATGCTCTATGGGGGTGCGGGGGTGCCTACATGCTGATGTCATAGCTGCCCCCCCCCTCCCCCCCCAACAGCCTAGTAACTAGAATTATTGTGACAACCCCAGAAATAAGTTGTCACATGACACCTCTCCCTCTGGGCCAAGGACATGGAAAAAGGAAACACACTCACGTAAGGAGCCGTGTCAGTGGGGAGAACCCTGTGGAAACAATGTCTGGCGGGTTTGGGGATTTAAGTGCAGTGTTTGAATCCCAATACAGAGCTCCAAATGTGGACCTAAAACAAGCGTCTCATTTTGTGTTCATACTAACAGTAGCTTTAGGCAAAGCAGAAAATGTTGGGGTCATGTTTCACACTCTTCAGGTCTGGGTAGCAACAACAACCAACTATGACTGAGACCACTGGAAATATTTTTATGAGATGAGGCAACTTATGTCCTGTACTTTAGTTTGCTCATAGATTGTGTTTAGCTTCAACAAATGTGCATTACTTTGCATGTGGTATTTTCTCATTCCCTCAGCTTCCTGTTTTAGAGCTTATCCTGAACGGTTAAATATTCAGATCTTGGGAAAAGTCTAGATTCATTCAGAGTTGCAGGTCCATGAAACCGTGCTTTTTTTCAAGCCAACTGACTTTTAAGTTAATGGACACAGACCTCTGAAAATGATGTAAATGTTTAGTTGACTTTGGTTCAGTGTCTTTCTTTTCTCTTCTCACGTCACTCTGTTATTATAGGTTTTTTTTTAATCACACCTCTGCTATATGTGGGAAATAATGCCTGCAGTTATGTTACAATTTAAGCTTCAAAAATAAGGCATCCATACACACATCCTGTTACCTTACAAATGGGTTGTTGAGAGCAGCGTGTGTGTGTGTGTGAGTGTGTGTGTGTGAGGTCGTTAACTAAGTCAGTCTCACTACATACATGGAGCTTTTGGAAGCTGATAATTAGCAGAAGCAGTAAGGTGCTAACAAGCGCCAGCCACACGTTTGCAACAGAGGTGTCGATGCCAACACGCCCCCCCCCCTGGGGCCCCCCCCCCCCCACCTGCCCTCACCACCCGCAAGGCAAATATACAGCGTGAGTAAAAAGAAGAAAACTTAGGTACGAGAGGTAAATTTTGTCAGCTGTACCCTACGTGCTGATTAACAAAAATATACACTCTGAGTGAACGCATGTGCCTCCTCCACTCCACCTCTAGTCTATATCTCTTCCTCTTTATTTCTTCCTTCCACATCTCCTCTTCATTTTCTGCCCACTCCTCCTCCTCTGCCTCCTTCTTCTCCATAGACTTGATCTATGAGTCATCTGAAGGTGAGATGCTTTATTCAGGAGACTATTTTCATCTTCTTTTTACATGAGAGACCATATGTTTTTAGTCCTTAAAGAGGAGTGACAGGTTGAAGGAGTGATGCTGCTGACGATTGACTGGGAGACGTCAGAAAAGGCTTCAGACAGGGTGCAAGTTGTTACGGTGGCAGCTGGCTGTCAAATCACATGTCGCTGCTATATTGATCACACCTCGGTTTACTCATTCAGAAAGACATATTGGACGTCTGTCTCCTCACTCCACCCTCAACTCTTTTTTTCTTTAACTCTCAACATTTCTTAACGTTCACCATTTTGTTTTTCGTCTCCTTCAGGTTGTGGAAACAGCAGTATGAGTGTTGACATTTACAGGGCCGGCTTCCACTCCATCACCAACATAGATTACTCCTCAGTCTGCATAAACACGATGGCAGCCAGACACAGTGACTGCCCTGGTATGACCTGGCTTCAGATGGATGTGCGCCAGCTCAGCTTTCAGAGCGAGTCCTTCGACGTCGTCCTGGAGAAGGCAACACTCGATGCCATCATGGTGGAAGAAAAGTCACCTTGGGAGGTTTCTGCTCAGACCGCCTGCTTCATTCACCAAGCACTGACCCAGGTACTGATCCAAAGTATAAGAACAGAAAATAAATATAATCCTAGAATTAATTAAAAATTAATTAAAAATCAAACTGAACTCTTTCTCTATGGCCATTCACATTATACTCTCAAATATAGCCATCTTTTTCATGGATACCTGAATCAAGTTGATGTTACAGATAAATGATGAACTTGTCCAAGAGTTAAAATATTATCTGCAGGTTGGGCCCTGTTAGTATTATGCAAACTACCATAGTGTATGATGGCTCTGTCTAAACAGTGACTTCTTCATGATCATGAAATCACTAATAGAGCCACTTTACATTTCCACTGCTTCATGTCCACGGCCCGTCAGTGAACCTAGACCATGGTGAGTGGCCTTTGAACACCAGTGTGCTGCTGTCGGAATGATGATGTTTTGGCAGTTAGTCATGCTTGACTTTGACACAATGCGATAAGAGAAAGACGCTTTCAAGTAAAGTAGGTGACCCCCTAAGCTCCGAATGGCCACTTGTTGCTCATGCTGAACTGCCAGCTGTGTTTGGAGCCCCGGTAATGAAATGCCATTGGAAATGTGGTGAGTAATTAAAAAATCTATAGCTGATACACAAAATAAATGCACTGTAAAGTCAAAGTAAATGCAGTGGGGTAGGGGTCGGTTGGCTGGAATTATTTTTTATTAGACCAAACAAAAAGTACATTTAAGACCTAGTTTTCTGCCCAACACAAAGTATGAATTTATATCCAGTACTCTGACCACCATGGACCATCAAAGGAACAGGAAGTAGAAAACAACTACAAAAAGGTATGAGATGGAAAAGGGTTTCCCAGCAGGAACATTTACACCATTTCCACGAACGTTGTCAACTTTGTTATTGTCTGAGATAGTGACCTTTGACCTGTACAGTAAATGAACTCTGCACTCTGAATTTGCAGACATTTTGTGGATATATCACTTCACAGCCATGTTTAACGTAAAGCTCACATGGGAGAATGACAGTAGTGACTTTCTTAACTGATGTGACTAATTAAGTACATAAAGGCAGTGTTAACGAGGCTTTACTAAGACAAAGTGTATTTTAAATGGCTACTGCAACCACAACCTCTTTTGTATAAACTCCAGTGGAAACGTGGATTTGAGTTTGTTTCAGACTCTGGTTTTGCATGAATGAAAGTTTCGTCTGTGGACATGTTGTCACTCACGCTCCACTTTTAAAGTCGACGATAAAAGACAGACGTGCAGACTGTCCTTGGTGCTTCCCTCTCTGAAGAAAGAAGCATTCGAGAATGAACAGTGAGTTTGTTTGGGAGACAGATGGTAGACTTTGATTACCCTCCGGAGGAGGTGCGGCTAAACTCGCATGGCAGAAATGTTTGAAAGTTGCGGTAAAAAGAGCTGAAATCTGTTTCACCCTGGATCGTCAGATTTCCTTTCACACGTCTTCTTCTCACCTCTTTCTCTCACTTTTTTTTCACCTTCAGTTTCACTTAACTAGTCAGATGTTAATGAATGGTTTGTCTGCTGCACTGTGAGTCTGTGGGAATGTGTTATGCATATATGTGTGCTTCTCCATTAATGTAAAATGCGGTGTGGAACAGTAAGTGTGTGTTCAGTGTACTGTACTGAAGTGTCAATAGTCAATAGTCCTTTGCTCTGTTGTATTTCTGCTCTCAGTGCGGCTAGTAACAGCAAAGCAGTCACGATTCCTGCTTGTGCGTTTTTTTTTGGCTTTGTTTTTTTTTTTTTTTTTGGAAATGTGGGAGGCAGCTTCAGAGCTGCTTCATAAGAAAACATCCTCAACAAAATAGAAATGACAGCTGATACAGAGCCAGAGAAAAAAGGTGAGAAAGGGGGAAGGAAACAAAAAGTCCAAAGGATTTGAAGAAAATAGGAAATGGTCTGAGTGAAGGAGAAGGAAGAGAGGAAAGAGATCCCTGAACAGTCATTTTGTTCGAATCACACACAGCGAAGGAGGAACTGAAGGGCAGACAAAGGAAAAAAGAAAGAGGGGAGCTGCACGGCAGCGGCAGAGGAAGGAGGAAAAGAGAGGGAGAAGCAGTGAGACAGAAAGCAGGAGTGACAGAAAGCTAATGAGCATTGTACCAGCGTGAAACAGATGGAAAAGGAGGAGAAGAGGGGACGGAGGGAGGAGGGGGGGAGGTGGAGGGGATAAAGACGTTGATCTGAAACCAATCACTGAGAGATAAATAATCTCCTGTTGACAGTGGACACAGTCACATCAGTGCATTTGTACGAAGACAACACATACACACAGTCCAGCTGATGTGGAATTAGACGCAAATAAGAAACGTGGGAAAAGATGTGCAGCTCAAAATCACAACCGCAGTAGTAGACACCGCACCGTCACTGTCATGCTGCGGCGGACCAACATACTGTGTCCTCGCACTGTATTTGCTGTGACAACAAATGCACATGTTCTCTGCTGCTAACGTGCACACACACACACACACACACACAGTAAAATATATCTCACAGTCGGTGGGTGCACTGAGGTGTAAAATTTATTTCACAGCCTGACGGGCTCTGTGAATCACTTCTGCTGTTGCTATGGCGACTCTTTGCTTGATATCATCTCGCATTAACTTTTAATTGCTAGTCGCTATTCCAGTTTAAAGAGGTAAGAACTAGTTCTCCGGCTCATTCGGAAAGAGGTGAGGCCGAGTCTCGAGCACCGCGAGTGATTTTATTTTATCATTTAGGTAGAACTAATGCACCTTCTCACTCCTGTTCAATGCTTGAAAAGTTGGTCCTCTTGAGTTAATAAAACTGAATTTAAAAAAAAAAAAAAAAAAAAACTTCCACACTGCCTGTTGTAGTAATTTGTTCTTTTTTCACTCAGTTGATTTAGTTTGTTCTGCTTTAATGCTAAAAACTCGCCTTGATTCCTGTTTGGCTCAGAGCTGCTGAAGGCTGCATTGATCACAGTGTAAGGTCGGTGACTTTGGCTCACTTCACCAGCGTGGTAATTGTACATGACATCCGTATATTAGAATGATCATTGATCTGTGCAACAAAAGAATAATCCAAAAAAGTTATTGCCTGAACTTCTCATTTTCTAAGTGATGTTCTACAGATCTTTGGGAGATTCTCCCTGAATTTTGAAACGTTTCACTGCAGACTCCCATGATAAGCTGTTCGCCGTTGGACTGTGTGATTGGTTAAAGAACAAACTTTTTTTGAAATCTTCTGGGAAGGATTTGGACAGACGTAGGCCTGTTTTTGTAAACCAAACACACAAACCCCTGTAGAGAGGCCTGTCACTTACTTTATTCCACATTTTAGAGCTGTATAAACCAGGAAGTTGAAAAATCTTGTGGGATCCATGTCTGTATGAAACTTCTGAGGGCTGCGTCTGTATATGGAGAGACCAAAACTGAGACTTCTGGAAATGGGGACAGACATTTATATTTGCCGTGTTACTGTAAATGTTCTAACTTCATGTGGTTTTTGGAAGATTACTGAGAAATTGAACTGAAAAGTCGGTTTGTACAGAAGATGTTGTCGCTCGGGACAGCTTTTTTTTAATGACTGTGCATGTGGATGTTTTTATGTAGCTCGAAATAACAAAAAAAATCCTGTTTACAAAATGCCTGTAGAATACGGATGGTCTGGCACTGCTGCTTTTCAGTTAATGAACTTCTAACATGGTTATTGAAAAACATTATTTCACAGTAGAATTGTTGACGGTAGTGTCATCAATATTTCTGAGTAATGTGAGGGATAGAACTTTCACTGTGATTCTTGGGTTCTAATGAAGTTCTCACCGCAGTCAGTGTCAGGCAGTGTCTCACAGTGGGTGTCTTTTGTTATTACTCTAAGACAAATTTGCATGTTGCTACTGCATGTTGATTTTTGTCCTAAACCCACGCAAAAACGTATTTTCTCATGCAATCACATTTTAGGAATCCCCTACTAGCTGCGTGAACCCAGCTTTAATGCAGAGACAGAGACAGAAACAGGGAGACTGAGACATTTACTGGAATCGATCGGTTGTTTCTGGCTCCCGCTGTGGATTTTTTCTCCCACTGCTTCTCCACCAGGACGCTATGACACCTGCTGGGAAGACAGTGGCCTCATGGGAACATTGATATTAACACACTTACACATTGACACACACGTGCACATACAGTTCAATGTTATTGACTGCAGAGGAAATACAGGAAACAAAAACAAAGGCTGTGTTTGTGTTTGAGACCTGCATCTCCTGCACTGGCCTAAAAAAGTGTTTTTCAACTGGATCCAGCTGCAGCTCCCACCATCACCCTGAGGTGACCAGCTGTGATCCATAAGAAGGAGAAATGTACATTTTTCAGATTCTTTGAATAAATGATTTTCCAGTTTGAACCCGAGATAAGTCTTTGAGAGACTGGTCTTCTCTGTCATATAGTCTGTCTCAGGTACTGTCTTTGATTACATTACACATGTATGTAATCACCACCTACTGTTAAGGAGTGTTTATTTTTTGCTTTAACTAAGGCTAACGACCCATTAAAAATAACATTTGCGGACCATTTTTGTTTTGCGACCCAACAGTTGGGAATCACTGGTCTTCAGTTAAGGAGCAGATGAATTTGGTTCACACCACTGTTTGTAAACCTAAACCCCTGAACTGCAGTTATCTCCGTGTTCTACTGCACAGTCTTGTGTTTGTGTCTCTGTCTTTTCTGTTTCCTGTTTATAACCCTCTGACTTCCTGTGTTTGCGTTGACTGTACTGCTCTTGGCTCCTGTATGTGTAGTAGGAGGGAACGACGGTGGTGTTGGTAGCTGCACGAGCCCAGTCCTCTCCCTAACAGTTTCAGGGGAGGGAAATCAGAGAAGTGGAGCACACGTGAGGGCAGCGGAGTGTGGCTGATTAAAATTCTAGCTGAGCATGTGTAGCCAAGTGGGGTGGAATCAGCGAGAGGGTTTTCTAACTACAAAAGATTGATGTCCTATTTTTTTCATGTGCACATTTCCTTTTTGTGCATGTGTTTTTAAGTGAATGCTTGGTCATAT